GGAGCAGGCGAAAACCACGGTTAGTTGGATTCTATATGTAAAAAAACAAGGAGCTGAAAATTCCTCGATCGCACACATCTTCCCAAAATCATTTTATAGGCCAGGTCGAAATGGTCGCCTTTTAATTTTCTCAGAAATTAACTACGAACTTGGGGCAGATCAGTTTATTCAAGGTCCATAGGCTCAGAACAAGGCTTTTATGTATGAATATTCGGGCCGAAGTCCATCAGCCTCAGCCAATAACCGCGTAATATTCATCAACTGCCGACAGGCAGCTAGAAGTATACTCACAGAACAGGTACTAAATAAAAGCCCATACACGCGTGTTTCGGCGATATTCTACGGTTGAAATGCTGCCGAGGCTAGGGTACATTCACATTCACACAACAAAGTAGTGAGGTCGTCTGCTTAAAATATTACAAGGCCTCAAGTGGTAGGAAATTGAGATTTAAGTGGTCGCTTACGTGGAAAAGCGACTATAGAAAATGCAATGATGCAAATATTTATGTAATGGGATTTAATGGCCAATAGGTTTAATGCGAAGAAAAAGTCCCTTGAGTGGAAAAACACTGAGCCCGCATTCAATGCATAATGCTCTGTATACTTGCTTCTTACGGCAACACAGAAATGAACGCAAAGTTGCGTAAGATGAAATGAGCAGAGGATAGGTGCCACGGTCCCGCCCCAAGTGACTAAAAGTCAATCGCTGACTAATCCTTTGACTCGCACAGTTCTGAACGTCTTCTATGTGGTTCGCTTCATAGCAGCCTAAGTTATCATTCTCAAACGTCAAACGTCTCAATGCGAAATTTATCGGGTCTGCGAAGTCCTACTGTTCTCGCTGCTGTTGTTGATGGTGATGGTGGTGGCGGCGGCGGCAGTGGTAACGACAAGAGCAGTTGTACGTTACTGAGCGTTGTATGAGGCACTACATATTACCAGAGACGCGTTGTTTCCAGGAAACGAAATAGAGAAGAGGCTAAAAATTACTTTCCGGTAAGAGAAAAGTATTGATGTAGAGAAAGAAATTGCCTTTTTGAGGACGCAACATTGGATAGCGAATAAAGCGAGATAAAATAAAACTAACAGTTGAAAACCATCGAAAACCAATATATGACCGTTATAGAAAACAAAAACGAGTATTTACCTACGCGAGTTGGTTCGCGTGAAGTTTTTGAGTCTGTCATGATCCCTCCAAATAAGTGAGAATTTTCTGTTAAGGTGAAAAAAATTATGAGCAACCGTGTTTTGTAAGGGACCACGACAAAAGTTCGATCCTTAAGAGATATAAATAAGGAAAGAGAAACTGGGGGACATCAATTATCATCTGGTTATGAGCAGCGCAAAAAAGAACAAGCCGGCAAAAATATGCAGCAACATGGGGTCGGCATTAAGCACAATGATGTAAGATGTAATAGGGGTATTCGTTTTGCCTTGGGATTCTGAGTCTGGAGCCTACGCTGGCAGTCGCAGAGCGACTAAAAAACAATACTCGGGTATTACTGAGAAATACAAAAAACAGTAGTCACCACTTCTGGATTGTTT